CTCGTATATAAGTCGCCGCAATCTCCCGCTAATACCGATAAGAGCGTCGCGCTAGTAGATATCCTCCTCCTACCCTAACTATCGAGTAACTATTAGTAGGCTATACTGTTTAGTCCTCGCTTCTACTAACCTAGTAGACCGATTATAGTAGCGATCCTCCTTTGCCGAGCTCTACCTTTAGTAATATTAGTAAGACTAGTATACCTACTAGAGACCTAAATTATCCGCCTATCCGCAATGCTCGACGATAGTTTAAGTATAGCATTTGCGACTAGCTACGCGCTATCGTTCGCAAATACGATATACTAGAGGCAGATGCTAATATAGATATATATTACTATTATACGGAAGGAGATAATAATAAGGCTAGTTAATATAAGTAGTATATCCTTCGTCGATACGAGATACGCTATTACGAGTTCTACCTACCCGACGGCTCTTAAGAACTCGAGAATTGCTACGTACCTTACTATATAGTCCGCGACGAGAACGATCGACCGCTACCTCGGCCTAGCTAACGCGACCGTGCCCGCGCTAACTAGTATAAGCAGTCCCTTCGTATGCACTTTCTTACTAATAACCTAGTCGACCCTCCTATTAAAGTTAGTACTAATCTTAACGGGCAAAAGGCTCTTATAGACATTAACTACGGTTTAGTTACGGACTTCTTTACTGCTCTAGAACAAGAAGAGATAGAGACATACTAGAACGAATAGCTTTAGAAGGGCTATAAAGAGCGATAGTTTAATATATAATTAGATATACGCGAAGAATCCCCTACTTTAAACATCTATAAGAAGTGCCGTACTATACGCGATAGTAACAAGCGACCGGAAGAACCTAACCTTATATCCGCCGCTAACCTTATAGATCTAGGCGAATATCCGGCAGATCTACCGAAACTTACGATAATCGAAGAGATCCTTATCGTACGCGTCTATATATATGTCGAACTGCGGCTAATTAAAGGCGCTTAGTATCGATATAGGAATAATGTCGTTAACTTCCTCCGCGATATAGGCAAGGTTTAGTAGGAGCTTCTATTACTTCCTAAGTATCTAGAGACCGTGCTTTTACGACTAGTATAGGGCGATAAGACTATAAACCGGATCTTTAAGCGTAATTTCCGTATCCGCTAAGCTGCTATTCGTTAGTAGCTATAGTACTTAAAGGACTATTATAAGGGCTATATAGGCATCTCCGTCGATAAAACCCGACTTTCTAGTTTGCCTAAAGATATAGACGTTATCGATTATATTAACGTCTAATACTATATAGAAGAGGACATCCCTTCGCCGCCTAATATCTCTTCTACTTAGAAGTCTTCTAGTTAAGCCGAAGATAAGGCAGAAGACTTTACTAACTATCTATTCGAATCTACCCTTCCCTAATCTCGTATACCTAAAGATTAACGTTAGTAATTATAGGAAGTTGTCGACTAGTAGGAAAAGCAGCGTTAAGAGTAGGACAATAAGCTTCGTATATAAGCGGCTTAATATAATAGTCTAGGAGATGCGCTATAGAACTATCTAACGCTGCCGCCCTACGATCGCGTACCCCTATTCGAATTTAATAAGTCTATAGCGCTGCTTTCGCTTGCCTTTCTAACCCTCTATCTAAATAGTATTACTAACTTCGTAGAATACCGACTGCGTAGTATATCGTACGAGGAGTACGTTAAGTATATACTTAAGTACTAAGATAGCCGCTTTGTATAGAACCTACGTTTCCGATATATCGCCCTTAATACTTCTATAAGGAAGCAGAGTAATCGTATTACTAACTTCGTAGTATAGTAAAACCTAGAGTACTAGGAGATTTCGCTTAAGGATTTAAAGGCTGCGCTTGCCTCTTACACTAACGAGGAATCTAAGAAGATGCTTTCTAATCTTATACGCTACGTAGACAAGCTACGAGGAACCCGGGCCTACTAGATTAGCAAGCGGAAACAGCTAGAGATCTACGTTATAGCCCTTAGAATACCGTATCTCTTCCTTACTTTTAGCGCTACGGACAACTAGTAGTAGTCGCTATAGAAATATATACCTAATATACCTACTAGTAATAAACAATAGCGACGCAAAACAGCGCGTAACAATGTCCGCGATAACCCTACTATCGCGGCTTATTATTACTATCGCCGATATACGATACTCTAATAGATAGTTCTCGAGCCTAAGTTTAGTATCGTAGACTTATAGAACCGCTTCGAGTTTCAAGCTCGTAGTAGCTCTTATAATTACAGTATATACTAGCTCTAGACCGATATTAATACGTAAGAGCCCTTACTGCCGCTTCTATAATTAAACACGCAGGCCGACCGAGACAGACTAGCTAAGTTCTAGGGCCGCTATATTACTACTTTCTAGCTAGACCTTAAGCGTACTAGGCTACAACTAGGAGAGCCGATAGTGCTATTAATACGCCTAGACGAGGTGCGTAATGCGGCATACCTCCTTATACCAAATCCAAATAGAGTCTAGCGCTACTAATACGGTTACGAGTACTATTAACGTAAGAACAAAGATACTAGCTAGCGTATATGTCGCTTCTATTATCCTCGAGAACTTTACGAGGAAGCTCGGATTAGTCGAGATCTTAATCCTCGCTACTATATATACGATAGTCCTCGCAACGATAAGTAGATAAATAGATATAATAGAACAGTGTCTATAGCCTAGCTCGCGAATACAGATTTCGCCCTCTATATATTAAAAGGTACCGTCGTTAACTACCTTACTAAGTACTATAGTAAGGCAAAGAAGCGTAGTACTCTATTACTCGAGATCGTAAAGCAATTAGGTCCGTAGTTGTAGAATTCTAACCGCCCTATAATCTCCTTCTTTGCTAAGATAATAAATAAGCTTATCGGTAAGCGCGATATATTAGTATAGGAGGCTTACTATTAGCTTTTAGGCCTTCTACTGTCTTAAGGCACTCGTACCGTTTAAAGCTTCGATTGTCGGCTCCCTTAATACTAGGCAAAGGTTAAGCGGTACGATAAGCAGGCTAGAGAGATTGTTATATAGGGCAAGTTACCTTTGCTAAAGTATATTAACCGCCTTAGTGTTAGTCCTAAGAAATTTGCTAAGTCTTATCTGCTTACGCGACCTAACCTTACCCTCTTCGAATTCCTAACTTCCTAGGACTTCGGCACCTTTAAAATACAACTACGAGCGAAAGCCTAGCTAATTAACTACTTCCCTAAGTATTCCGGCAACCTAGAAGAAGACGACGGCACGTACGAGGACTATTGTCGCACTAAGGTTATCCTATACTACTTATTCGATAGCTAATACCTAGCCCTTTCTTATACTTTTAGCGACGACTATACTAATAAGGAGTTTTATACTTAGCGTAAAGCGTACGAGTAGTGTTAGGAGAATTACTATAATTATCCTTCTAACTACTTCGGAATTAATCTTCCTATACCTACTAAAGACCTCTTCGAGGAAGAGCAACACGATCTAGAAGAGGAGGAACCTAAGGGTAAGCTTCTCGTACGTACTATATCCGATCGCAATCCTATAGAAGAGGAGGAAGATCTAAACAACCTTAGTAACTATTAGATAGACAAGGACTACGACTAGACACCTTATATTAGACGATATAACCTTAGATAAATAAAAGATTAGTAGAAGGCATATCGTAGCACTATAGCCTATTAGAAGGTCGGCTAGATCGCTAACCTATAGTAAAAGGTTATAGGTTTATCGCTAGAGTAGCGAACCTAGCATAACCGGATTTACAATTATACCGATAAGATAATTAATAGAAACACTATTCTAGCCTCGATACTACTAAATATTAATAGTAAGGCTAGAGTCGGCAAGTCCTTTGTTATTAAATTGCTATCTTCTACTATTAAAGGTCTCGCTAAGCAATACGATGCGAGTAGTCTTATAGAATACAAGCTTAACAACCCGATTATACGCATTACTCCTACCGGTACTACTACTTATAGTATTAAGAGATCTACTATTTACTCCGCCTTCCGCTTACTATTAACTATAAAAGAGTACGTTCCTCTCGAGGGTAATACACTCTCTACTTTCTAGGAGTTTATAAGCAAGATCCTCTATATTATAATCGACGAAAAGTCTATAATTAACTTAGTTAAGTTATATTAGATCGATAGGCGGCTACGACAAGTCGGATAACAAGACTCGAGCTATTCGTAGGCTAACTAAGAAGATCCTAACGTCGATACCTTAATACTGTTCGGTAGTTTTACTATTTGTATATATAGCGACTTTAGTTAGTTACTTCTAATCGGCGGTCGACCGCTCTTTAGTAGACCTACCTTAATCGACTCCCCTAAAGTCGTTCTTAGTCGCTATACCTAGCATCTCTTCGATAAGACTATCTAACTTAATGTCGCTTAACGTTAGTAGGGCAATAATCTAGCATTACGGGCATTTAAGGAAGCACTCGAGGGCCTACGTGCTAGACCTAGAAAGCTAACTATTTAGCAATAGTAGACACTTATAACTCGTATCCGAGATGCTACCTACCTATACCCCGTTGCCTTCTAGAAAGCTATTTGTCTTTTTAGCTATAAGAAGCAGGTAGCTACTTTAAACTATACCTCGATACGCGACAACTAACAACCTATTAAGCCTATCTAGGCTACATATATTAGACGATTTGCACCTTTAGCTAATTACGAGACAGGTAGCAATTTGTATAAGATCCTCCCTATCTGCATTAATGCCTATATTATAGTTACTAAGAACCTCTAGGTATAAAAGGGTATTATTAATAGTAGTCTCGGTACTATTCGCGATATCGTTTAGGCCCGAGATAATACGCGTATAAACTAGGAGATCGTCGACTAGGATATACTAGCTATAGTACTTATAAAGCTCGATAAGTACTCCGGACTAATACTAAACTAAGAAGTAGATAGACTTCCGGCAAATGTAGTGCTAATTGTACTATCTCGCTAGGAGTAGAAGTATAACGAGCGCGCTAATAGGCAATGTGTCCGTACCTAGTTCCCGCTTACAATCGCCTATACTATAACTATTTACAAGTCGCAAGGCATAATATTAGACAAGGGTGTATTAGACATTTCTAAGAAGGACTTTATACCTGCTCTAACCTACGTAGTATACTCTCGCTTCTGCAAACTCGACGATATCCTCTTCGATAAACCCTTTAACTACGATCGCTTTAAGGGCAAGCCGTATAAGTCTTATATCGACCGATATACTAATTATATACGCCGTAAGAAGTAGCGGACTCTACTACCTAGATATATACTTTCCTTAGACCTACCCTATCTAGACCTTAAGGCTATAGGTACTAAGCGCGATTAATAGTAGCGTAATATACAAGCTCTATATACCTAGCAAGAATATCGTCTTTAGTAGCAATACGCTCGAGAATAGTAGTAGGATAAGGCTCTTTATCGGCGTTAAGAGGAAGAGGCATAGTTTAAAGCCGACTTACTTGAAATTACTAAGATAGAGTCTCGTACTCTAGGTAATACTATACTATCGTCTAAAGAAGCCGCTTTGCTAGTCGCTTCTCTCGCCTTCCTCGAGCGTATACTACCGACTTTAATAGTACCTAGGCAGTTTATCCGCTTTATAGTACTATCTAGCAGGTTTATAGAGGTCTATAGCCGTCGTATTAAGGGCACTATATTCGTTAATGCCTTTCGTAATATGCAGTCGCGTAATAAAGTTGTCTACGAATACCTTAGAGTTAGAGCTATACCGCGTATCGATTAAGACCGTCTCGGTAATCGACAAGTTACTAGCGAGTTCTTAGACGATAAGACCTTCTAGCGTAACGTTAATACTAACCGCGAAGCCTAACGATCGTAGGCAGTCTCTTCGAGCTAGCTTCTTCGAGGTAGTAATATCGTCGATAGCGATCCGCGAATATAGTAAGAGTAAGAGTAAGAGTAAGAGTAAGAGCAAGAGCAAGAGTAAGAGCAAGAGTAAGAGCAAGAGTAAGAGCAAGCAACTATAGATAATAAGGAAATTAATAAGAGACATGTATTCAAATTGCAATCGCGGAAGAGTAGATACGTTAATAGGCGTTTAATAATAGATTGCGCCGTTACTAGGTATAAGGAAATAGGTATATAGTAACGTATAGAACACCCTCTACTAATCGCCGTAGTAGAAAGTAGAACTAAACCGTGCCTTTCTTAGAACAGGGCAGAGCGACTACTATTAACTAGGCCTAGTACGGATAGTATATCTGCCGTACCGGCTACTAAGCATGTCCGTACGAGTAATCGAGCATTACGCGTATACGCTAAGCAAGCTTATCGCTAGCGCGGCTGCATCGTACTATACGTAATAACATTACATAATTGTTATATAGGCTTGCTAAGGCAGGATAGGAGACTTTACTTGCTTAGGTTCTTATAATTATCTCCTTCCCCCGGTATAGCTATCCTAGCTATAGGGCAATATAGTAAATTACACTATTTCTTATACTCTACGCTGCACTTGCGCGTCTTATACGCACCTGTCGCTAGGCTATAGTTGCTAGGCACGTTATAATTTGCCTCGTAGTTGCTTATTTATTGGTTGCCTAAATTTCTAAGAACGCGGTAGCTACGCGAGAACGCAAGCTATCCGAAAGCGAGGCGAGTATTTAAAGCATTCGAAGCCCGCTTAAAAACTTCTTCTTTTTCTAAGCGCTCCGAATACTACCCGCCTACGCCCCCCCTACTCTACCCTTACGCCCCCCTAGTATTACTTAAAGATTTTTTTTTTTTTAAACATCTATCTAAAAAAAACATTACTAGTATATCTACTCCTTCGCGTGCCTTAGGCAAGCGCGCCGTAGGCGCACTGCCCTCGATATCTACTACGCCTACCTAGCGCCTACTAAAAGTCCTAGAGGGCTATACTCGTTACTTTAGGCATATAACGGCTAACGGTACGTTTTCTCGCCCCTTACTACGTATATACGCTTTGCAATTAACTCGCTTTAGATAACCTATCTAAGCTCTACGTAGGCGGCAATATAGACCCTACTACTAAGCGCAACTATAATCGCTACCGTAGCAGCTATTATACCTACACTCCTATTACGGTACGCGCGCTAGTATCGCTACTAGCCCGTATCCGCGCCGCGCGCGCTATGCGCGACCTTTACGATCTAGACGGCTACGACTCCCCCGAGGAGTCTAACGAGGCCTTAGAGGCACTCTAGGCTAATCTAGACGCCGTCGTCGCACGTAGGTTCCTTATACGCTCTACTTACGCTTCGTATACTAACCTCGTTATTAGTTATCCTATCTACGCTCGATGCCTTTTATATTAATAAAAACAAAGTAACCCTAGGCGGTAAAGCCCTAGCCTGTAAGGGGGCCGCCGGCGGGTCCCTTACGGACGTTAACCTATTAAGTGCCCTTAAGAACATCGGTACTAACTTAGCTAGATTAGTAGAGATCGGTCGTTAGGTATAGTTTTTTCTATAGCCTCGTTTTACTTGCGCTTCGTATACTAACTGTACTAGAACCTCGCTTAGCGCGTTAGCGCTAACGCCGTCGCTACTATTAATGCCGCTATAGGTATTAAAGAGGAGGACGAAGAGGAGAAGTCTAAGGATAAGTAGAGTAGACGGCCCGCCGTCGCCGCGCCTACGCGGCGCTACCTTTATATATACTAGGCTAATAGGCCTTTTTTAGTAGCGAAACGAGCACGTATCTACTATTTTTCTTAAGTTTCATTTTCTTTTGTTTTAATTACTACCTACGCTTACGCTTCGCTTAAGCTTCGAACTCGTCTAACGCTATAGAATCTTTAATATAAACAGCTAGTTCCTAAGTGTTATATTCTTTAGGCTAACCTCGCTACTTAATAAGGTAGTACGCTTTCCGCTTTTTTATCTTCTTAGCTACGATTGTTTCTACCTACTACTCGTTACCTTTAGCGACAGGTATACTTATCTTATACTCCTCGCTATCGCGCCTATACTAAGGCTCGAGGAGGGAAACATAGAAAACATTGTAGATCTTCGTACTTAACGGTAGTGCTAGGCGGTACGCCTACGCTCCGACTACGTCGATAATACGAAAAGGCTCTATATACTTCGGGCTAAGTTTCTTCTTTAGGACATCTAAGCTAATGTTCTTTGTCGATAGTAAGACTAGGTCGCCTATACTATATATCTTAGTAGTATAGTATATATTATATTGCTTAGCCTAGTATTCTGCTACTTTCTACTAGCGTTCCGTAAGCGTTTTATACGCTTTCCGTAGGCGCTCCGTAGCGTCGATAGCTGCTAGTACCCTTCCCTTAGTTAGCTCGTCCCGAGCTAGTAGCTTATTTGCGCTTAGTATTAAATTAGGATCGAAGCCGTAGAGCATCCTAAAGGGGCTTATACGCAACGTAGGATAAACGCTGTTATTGTAGGCAAACTCCGCCTAAGGTAACAATTTAGCCTAATTATCCTAATTCTTAGAGTAATAGTATCGCAGGTATTGCTCGAGGGTCTAGTTCGCGCGTTCGGTTTGCCTATTAGTCTAAGGATAGAAGGCTATACTAAGCCTACGCTTTATATGCGCTTCGAAGCAGAAGTCGCTCTAAAACTAGCTAGTAAAAAGCGATCTACGATCGCTAACAATGCCTAATAGCACTCTAAAACGCCTAATTACCTCCCTTTAAAGGATATCCGCGAGTTCTACTACTATATACTTCTTCGTCGTTAGGATAAAGAGGCTTATCTTCGTATAGCGGTCGACTATTACGAGGATCGTAGTATATACGTAGGTACCGAGCTTGCTCGGCGGGAGATCGGTAATAAAGTCTATCGTTAACTCTTACTAAGGTTAGGTCGGTATAGGTAGAGTAGCAAGCTCGCCGTATAGGCGATAGCGCTTCGCCTTCGACCGTTAACAAACTCTATAGATACGGATATAGGCCGTAATATCCTCGGCTATCTTCGGCTAGAAGTACTTTCGGCGTATTAGGTCTATAGTCTTAGCTATACTAAAGTGTCTAGCTAAAGGGTCGTCGTAGTGTATACGTATTAGTTACGTACGCAATGTATAGTCCTTAGGGATATATAGCGTATCGCTATAGTAAATAAGGTTACTACGACGAGAATAGCTAGGTAGGAGGTTAGAACTACTTAACGAGGCTAAGCTACCCGACGGTAAGCTTGTCTCGTATAAGCCTTCTCCTCTCGCTTGCTCTAGCTATTATAAAGTACGTACGAAACTAAGGATTATATTAGGCGTCTCGTAGTAGGGCCCGTTATTCCTAACGATAGTAGCCGCTACTCTTACGGGACTGCTAATGAAACTCTTACGTTCCGCTAGCGCTATACTAGCGTCTCGCATCCCTATATATATAATAGAGATACGTTTTATAATCGGCTCGATATCCTCGGGCAGATTTAACTATAGAGCTAGTTTCGACTATAATATAGGAAGAAGGTTGTTCGCCGCCTATAACTCGCTCTCGTAGTCGCTACGTCGCGAAGGTATATCGGCTAGATTTCGTTTACTAGCCTAATGTTTAATAGTAAAGTTAAAAGGTATAAGGAAGGTCGCCTATCTTACCTACCTTCCGACGAGCTACTTTATCTTTATAAAGCCCTTAAGATTAGCGTAGTCGACAACTACGCGGATCGCATACTAGGCGCTATTAAGGTACGGGCGCTAATGCTTAAAGGACTCGACAACCGCTAAGAGCTCCTAATTATAGGTCTTATAATTTATCTTAGCTAGGACTATTTTCCGTAACTAGAAAGCAATAGGGTACTAATTCCTATCTTCGCTCTATTATAATATAATCCCTACTAAGGCGAACGTAGAGGCATCGGTTTCGATACGTAGGGGCTTCGTAGGATTATAGTGTCGCAATATCGAGGCCGAGCTAAAGGCAGCCTTTAGCTAGCGGAACGCTTGCTCCTCGCTTTCGCCCTACGGGACCTAACCTAGCTTCCGGCTATTTACGGCGCCTTTTAATAGGGCAGTTAGCGGTATAACGATTTAGGAATAATTTAGGATAAACCTCTAATAGAAGTTATAGAATCCGAGGAAGGATTAAACCTCCTTTAGCGTTAATAGGCGAGGCTATTTAGTAATAGCGTTTACCCTACGCTAATCTATCGATACGCCTTCGGTACTAACGATAAACCCGAGGAATTCGACTTCTTTCTTCTAGAAGGAATATTTCTTTCTATTCGTATATAAGGCGAACTTCCGGAGCCGCGCAAGGATAGCGCGTACGTCTCGTACGTAGTCCTCTCGCGTTTTGCT